TAGTTGAAGCTAGGACAGAGTGGTACGGGAAGAAGGCTAAAGCAAGTGGCAGGGAAAGGTAGGTAGGTAGGGAGATGTGATCTTGTCTTGCATTTTTATAACTATCTCACTGGAATGTGGTGATGCTGGTTATCAAAACATTGTAAGAGGAAGAGCGAGGAATAATGGTAAGGAAGACAGTTCAGGTTTTGCCATGTTTGGCTTAAGTTCTGGGAGGCATAATCAGAACATAATCGGAATTTGTGAATCAAACACTAGTGTGGCCAAATGTGACTGTGGACAGATTCAAGAAATGGAACAGAGCAAGAGAAGGGCTAGTTTTATGGGAGGGGAGGAAAAGACAGGGTAAGAGTAAGGACTGAGAAGTCACTTGTACAAAATGGACTGGTAATAGGAGAGCTGGGAGCGAGTTGGAGGTGAGTGTATAGCAGCTACTGTCTCAGTTACAAACTGATGTTTAATGGTAAACACGTGGAAGAGAGCCTCTTGAACACCTCAGAAATGGAGGTAATGAAGGGGGCTTAGCACTCTGGAGAAAGTCAGGAGAGGGCAGTAGACAGAGGAAACTGAAGCTGACTGCACGTACGCTTTCAGCATGCAGGAACTAGTGCAGTGACACAGGAGAGGCCAGCCCTGCTGCATCAGACTCCCAATTCTGGGAGAAAACAGGGAGACTCGCAGATGAAAATGGACAGAAATAGAAAATAAACTTCAACGGTAAGAATATCTTTGTAGCCTTGTCATAAAGAGGCAATGGCTTCCCAAATTGATGCAGGAAAGTCAGGGAGTCAGCTGGAAGTGGTGTGAGCTTTACTGAAAATTAAGCGTGTTCTTCCTGAAGGGACGCAGCACCCATCCTCTACTGTAGTGGTGGCATGGAGTAATTCAATCTGCTTTAAACTGTGGTCAGCTAAGCTGCTGAATGCAAGACTGTATTTTAAAAGCCTTGCTAATAAAAAACTACATTATGTATTGTGTGCATCTCCTTCCTATGAGCGGTATGAAGAAAAATAATATGTGCTACAAAAAAGCAACTCCAGCAAACACTCAAAAAAACTTTGAAGAAAAATGCAAGAAACAAGATCTGAAGACAAGTTTCTGCTTAGATGTATTTTTAGGTGGAGAGCATCATTTCGTCAAAAAGGTGGGTATGCTTGCAGATTGTGGTTTGAGGCAGATGAGAAAAACAGATGTCATGTCTGAGTTACTGAACTTTTCATAACCTTCTAAAGAAAATCACCACCACATACGTTCTCTCAAACTGGTGAACTGACTGATGAAACCACAGCACACAAACCCCACAGAAAAACAAAGCATGCAGCTAAAGTTCTCAACTGCAGAATGCACAGTTAATTGCTCTTGCTTATGCTCACAGCTTTTGCTTTAACTCTAAAACTGTCTTTATCTCAACACATGAATTTTCCCACTTTTACCCTGCTGATTCTCTCCATCCTACTGGGGCAGGAGTAAGTGAGCAGCTGCATGGGGCTTAGCTGCTCACTGAGGTTAGCCCACAACAGCCTGTTTTATAAAATAAACAACAGGTCAAGTTGATGTAGTTCCAGGGGTAAGGTAAATACTGATGTAATTTATTGGATGTTCAGGCTCCCAACAATTGGATCATGTAATCATGTCCTTTATCATCTACCTCAGAAACTTCAGTAACAGAAGATCCAAACCAGGAAACAAGCGTATTTCCTCTAATGTCCAGAGGTCAAAATCATGACAGAACTACACTGAAGTGGAAGGAAGGCTTCAGTATTATGAACAGGATTTGTTATATGGACTTTGGAATTACAATTCAAGCCAAGGGTTAGGCATTGGGGTTTAGATGTCTTAGCTTCTTTAATGCAAGCAAAATTTCATGCTGAAATAACAAAATGCCTCTCTACAGGCCTCTCATCAAACAGACAGCTAATGCAACTGAATTAGAAGCCAAACTACTACCTATTAGGCACCCTCAAGTTGGATCCAAAGAAATAACATACACTGGGTGTATCTTTAGCCAAGTGCTGAGCTGACTTTTTTCCTCAGCACAATCAGGGAAATCCGCACACTGCCCTCCCCTCTGAGAGCACACAGCTGCAAGTGAAAGACTGCAAAGAAATGTGAAGATGATATTCGAAGTGTTGATGCAGAGATCTCAAAATACGATCTATAAAGCAATCTTCAAGTGTTTGCCTGGGAGTGCTCCCAGTCACATGCTGGATGTCTGTTATTGCTCTCCACAACTACCTGAAAAGAGGATGTAGTAAGGTGGGTGTCAGTCTCTTTTCCCAAACAATAAGTAATAGGACAAAAGGAAATGGCCTCAAGGCATGCCAGGGGAGGTTTAGATTGGATATTAGAAAAAACTTCTTCACTGAAACAATTGTCACACATTGGAAAGGGGTGCCCAAGGAAGTAGTGGAGTCACTATACTTGGAGATACTTCAAAGAGATGTAGATGTGGTGCTTAGGGACATAGTTTAGTGGTGGACCTGGCATTGCTAGGTTAACAGTTGGATTTGATGATCTTAAAGGTCTTTTCCAACCTAAATGATTCTATGATCTTGTCCACTGATATTCTTCTATTCGAGCTATTTACTTAAATTTAGTAACAACAATCAGTAAGGTCATCCTTATCAGTTCACAAGAGCTGCCCAGTCCGACCAGTGGATCTTCAATAAGAAAACCTGGACACTCTCATTGCCACAGTGAAAAAAACTCACCTGAGGGTACAACAAACAGCAGTCAGTACATCTCCTCCATCAAGTATTTCAACCGCTGAAGAATATTTTTTAAGGTAATTAGTGGGCAAGATTTGATGTGCCCTGATGCAAGCTACAATATCAAAACAATCTCATGGCTATTGCTGATCTCAGAGATAGATGTCCTGCAATTTGTGTATCGCTCTGGACATCCCTGACCACGTGATCAAAAGATGCCAAGACAGACCTGAGGAAACACTAGTTTTTGAAGACCAAGTATTTTCAGAGACAGTGCAACCATGTTCACTTCAGCACATCTGCTATCTTGATACACACAGATCTCATGATGCTGTTCTTCACATGTGATACATGACAGAAGGGCTTGAAACAGCTCAGCTCATCTTGCTTGCATGTTCTGAGCTCTCGTTAGAGGAAGTAGTTTTGTTAATGAGTACTTAAATTCAGTCACATCAATCAGATTACCTCCTCACATGAGGAAGAAGATGCTACCATCCTGCCTCCTGAAACATGATGCAATGGAGCCACTGCCCACCTCCATCTGTACGTGAGGGCTTTATACAGCTAAGGAGAAAGTCTTGAAAGCTTTTCTCACTGTACTTCCAGAGGAATCCCTTAAATTTCAAATTCTCACATCATTAAGATGAGCTTTCCTATAACCCAAGAAGTAGCTGTTTCATAGCTCTCACTTTTGATACAGAGGATGGAATTTTTTGAAGGGTAAATGTTTTACACAGTGACTGCAAAAAGCACAGGTATGAAAGGAAGAAGTGGGTCAAATAATTTAAAATCCCAAATTGAAGTGTGATAGCTCTTTAAGACATTTTCTGCCTTGAAAGTAGCTGTCGTGGTTTGACCCTGGCTGGCAGCCAGGTACCCACACAAATGGACATTCAAACAAACTAGTTTAAAGCTGCAAGTGAAAATACGTTTAAGCGAGAAAAAGGTGTTTTTTCAGCCCCAAGATCTTCTTTAACAGTAACAATAACATTTGCTCTACATAATGAACCACAGAGAAGGCTATCGTGACCAGGTATCAGCTGCATTTAAGTAATTCTCAATAGGTTCCCAACTCCTAAGACAATGCTGAAGAAGCTCAACTTAACTTTCTCTCCCTTTCAGAGGAAAGCTCACTGGTTTCTCTCCACCGGAATCTTTGTAACTGGAAAAAGGACATTATTTCCAATAGCAAGGAGATTCATTTGGCTTCTCTGGTACTGGATCTAGAGCTTTCAAATTTGGGGTTTTTTTTCCATTTGTTTTTTATCTTCCAAGGAAGCTTCCCCCACCCAGGTTTGGGATCTTTTTTTTAAAGTCTTATTTTGGAGTTGGGCTCCTCCCCACACACTTGACTCCCTGCAATTATCATATACAGTCTTCTCTCCCTCTAACCTGAGTCTCATCACAAACAGAACCAATTAGAGACTATGAGACATCATTATATCAGAATTTTAAACTTCTGAGCCATGTACAAAGTTATTTCTTACTTAATACTACCAGGAAGTATGCAGACTCTCATAATGGTTCTCATCATGAAGCTTTTGGGCTTTCCATACACATATTTTGTTCTTAAACAGCCAAATACAGCTTTCTTCTATTTGCAAAGAAAAGGAAATATGCAGAGAAAGAAACTGCACTTGCCTCTTTCTCCCTCCCAAGAAACCCAGATTAAAACGGTTGTGGCTGCATCAAAACTTTTTGGTATCTTTTTCTGAGTTTGTCTAACAGTAGGGTGCTCAAACTAATACTGAAGATCTGAAGACATAATAGGGCAAAATCATGGGATTTCAGAATAATTGGTGGCTGGCTAAAAATAATGTGATGTAACCAACTTCAAATAGGAAGAAGTCTGACCTTATCAATATTAAATACTTCTTTACTCAAACACCAAACTTATTTATGGAGTCTTCAAAAGCCTCCCTCTCCAGACAAAACTGACAATATACAGAAATCTAATATGAAAAAAGCTTGAGGCTAACTTCTTTTTTTTCCAAAATAGTACTCGATAGGAAAACATTAGAAATAAAGAGCCTAAAATGAAATCCTAAGTATCTATGGTATTTTACTGAGCATTACTCTGAAGCAAGTACTATTAAAGTCTTGAAAGTGTGCAATCTGTAAGTACCAAGCAGTGAAAGAAATTTTTCTTGTTCTTTAATAAAAGCAAGACTTAAAAAACAAGTCTTATAACAACAGATAGCTCAAATGGTCATATGTAGGTCTATGTTATACACCATAATCAGCAAACCTAAGGAAAGAAAGCAGATTTTCGCTGTAAATTCAGGTCACAATTTATCTTCTCCTTTTCACATTTGGATCATATCTGCAACAAAAAAGAAAATTTGTCACAAATAAGTAAAACAATGATGTGCAAAGTTAACAATGTGATGTAAATAGCTTTACCATATATACGTAACATGGGACTGGTCAGTGTTCCATTCTTCCCCTGACTGCACTTCTATAATTAACTACAGTTGCTACAACCTGAAGGATGCATAAGCTAGAACCTGTGCACAAACTAAAGATAACCTTTATGAAAATCTTCACTGACTTCCTAGCTACTTAAAATCTTTAAATCTGACGCATGAACAAGTTTCTTCAAGCCTTTAATGGCCCAAAAATAAGTTACTAAGGGAAAAAAAAAAAGAAAAAAAAGGGAAAGGGGTACTGTCTATTCACAGGAAGGTACATTTGACCACAACAACTCATTCAAAACCTTTCTGCTGCTTCCTATTCCCGCATAAAGCAGTTCCTTGCCTTACCTTCCCCTTCAAACAGCTTTTGATTGATCTTTAGTAATTTACATCTACTTTCTGGATATACCAAATAGTGACCCGAGTTAGTGCAACACGCTTATAGTTTGCCTCAGCTTGACCTCGTTAATCCTTTGGCCTTCTCTTTCTCTCCATTTGTGCTTCATTTCCCAAAATCCTGTGTCGCTTCTTTGAAATTCCGATGTGTTTTGTGTTCATGCATGATTAACTTATGGACACAACTGAATGATGAGGCAGTTTTACTTCCACTAATTCTGCTCTCATTCATCAAGACATTTTTGCTTAGGCAGGAAAATGTGACAACTTGTGAGCCAAATTACATCACCACATAACTAGAAAGGTATATAAGTCACTGCTTTGCTATAAAACAGACTTCTGGCAGAAATTGAGTGTGTCCCCTTTGAAAGAAATGCTCCTTTATTAACTGTTAATTAACAGAGCAAGTTGTTAATGCAGTAAGATTATTCTGAATGGCTCTTATACATGTTGATATGTGGTATCATGGTTCTTTGACAGTGGTTTGGGCAGAAACATCCTTCTTCACTATACACATTTTTCTACCTACATGCACAATTTTGAGTGTTAGTGAAACACTAGTCTCACTGGCAAGTGAGAAGTCCAATGGCATGCTCTTCTTTCTTCACATAAAAATTAAGAAAATAATGAAATCTTTCCTAAACATCCTTACATTAAATCTCAAAGCATTTCTTTGAATTTACTGCTATAGCAATGTAGCACATTAGTAGTAACATTTAAGTATGTCCTGGGCACCAAATCCTATTTTTTGGGGAGTGGGGAAGATAAGCACACAGGAGAAGGGGGGTGATACGTGATGGAAACCTGCCATCATGACTCCAACAGCTTCAGCTCTGTCTGTGACTGTCTACAGAGATGACAGTCACAAACATGGTTTCCTGTCAACTCCCGACCTCACCTTCAGCCATTTTCCATGTTAAATGAAGCTTGGAGGAAGTTTTCCAGCAAGAAAGAAATCAAACAACATTATCAAAGGAAACTCTACAGTGCCTGTGGCCTGAAGTGGAAAAAGGACTACTGACATTTCATTACTGTGAGTGAACGCACAAAGAAACAAAAGGTCTTGCTAGGAACAGGGAACGAAGGATACCAAGAACTCTTACTGAACATCATCCCATTTATCTGTCGTCTCAGCAGACAGGATGATGTGTTTCCCTTTCTCCTCTATCTCAGTATGTACTTCGGAGCAGTTGAGGGCACAGCCCTTCTTTCTAGCTCATCTTTACCTTGGAGCACTGCATGACTCTTCCTAACAGCATCTTCAGCTGCAATTTTCATGGGAAATTGCAGCTCTTAACATCAGCCTTATGACAAGTAATTACACTCAGAATTAAGGACAAAATTAGAAGTAGCTTACAAACTGATGAACATTAAATTATGTGGTTTAGTATTTTTGACTGTGGAAACTTCTGCAAGCACACCCATCCTAATATAAATTGGGAGTTGAGGTAAAAGCTTTCCAAAGCATGAATGCATGTGAATTATGTGTTTCCACTGCTGTGTTTTGAAAGGCTAAGATTAGTCAAGGTATTTTGAACCAGTCCATATTCTAGCACGGTAATCAAGCTGCATCATGTTTTTATTAATATCTTCATAACTGACATATATTTAAAGACTGTACTGCAGCTGTAAAAAATGGATAAAGTGGCAAACTTGACTTAGACCTTTTTTCAATTAGAAAGTGGTTATAAATCATTAAATTAGGATTACAGTGGGAAGTAACTGGACAGGAAACCAAATGAACAGGATGATTCTCGCTTTCAAAAGAGAGATTAGGGAAAGCGGTAGACAACTAAAGTGACAGTTACTGAAAGAAAACTGCTGAAACAGACTGTGTTTTAGAGACAAATATAATGAGTTATGACAAAAAACAATGGCAAATATCCAAGGTGAACTTGGAACTACCACAGTTGTTTCTCAAACTCCTGTGACTGATCAAAACAGATTGATCAGAACAGACCTTATGAGGAGCGATTGAGGGAGCTGGGTCTGTTCAGTTTGACGAAGAGGAGGCTGAAGGGGAATGTCATCATGCTCTACAATTACTTGAAAGGACATTGTAGAGAGGTTGGTGCTGGTCTCTTCTCACAGGTAATTAGGGACAGAACCAGGGGGAATGGTTTCAAGTTGCAACAGGGCAAGTTTAGGGTGGACATTAGTAAGAAATTCTTCACAGAAAGAGTGGTCAGACACTGGAATAGACTGCCTAGGGAGGTGGTTGAGTCGCCATCCCTGGATGTGTTCAAGTGTCACTTAGATGTGGTGTTGGGTGATATGGTTTAGGGGTGACCTTGTAGTGTAGGGTTAGTGGTTGGACTTGATGATCCCAAGGGTCTCTTCCAACCTGAATTGTTCTATGATTCTATGAAAACAGAAATAAATGAGTCTATTACACTGTCAAAAGCATAGAATGACCAGTGTAAAAATGCCTTCTCTGCCCAGTCTGAAAACTGGAAAGATGGGAAGGGAATTTCTAACAAATGAAAAAAAGCAGGAGGAGGTAGGAGCTCTTTCATTGTGAATGGTTTTGAAAGCAGCTTAGGATTTCAAAGGCAAGAGGCACAGAAGGGCCATACTGAAGGACTTACTTAAGAGTTTACTTCAGATTTTTGTTGCAAATTCTGAGAATTGTGATTGCAAAAGTGCAACACAAAAGAAAGCAGCCCCGCTGATCACTTTTTCACAGACCTGGTATTCTGTTGCTTTAGCTCCCTCAAGTGACTCAGCACAGGGATAGACAAGTGCCACAGACAGGATGGAAATGGCAGACCTCCTCATCATGTTTTTGTCACAGTTCAGATGTCCGACTTAATTGTAAGATCAAAATACTTCATTAGGCTCTGGCAAACACTGATGATGGAAAGCCTGACCCCAGAATCTCTTCTAGACTTTGTCAACATTCAAGCTTGTGTAAATGAGCCAGGAAACAGCAGCATTTTTGTTTGTGAAAAATTGTAACACGTCTGAAGGAAACTGAAAGTTTAAGGCATAAAAAAAAATGAAAGAAGTTGCTGAGTTGACATACGTGGGAATACATGAATTTTGAAAAGAACAGTCAAACTAATCTTTTACAAAAATGGAGTTGGTCTAAAAAAAGATATGATGAAAAAACCCACATATTTTCTATGTACAAACTTAAAACTCTTACCTAAAGAGGTCATCAGCAAGCGATTCTTCTCTTGCATGTCGGTTCTGTTCCTGAGAAAATAAATTTGTTCAATATTTGATGTTCAGAATGAAGCTAATGAACAATGTACAAGAACAACATATTCCCCGCACTAAAACAATTTTTTCTAAAGAAATAATTCTTTTTCTAAGTACTCCACTCATTAGATTATATATTTCACTACTGAAGTTTGTCTACCAAACTTCCAAACTAATGGAACAGAATACTTTCTGCAAGATACCAACTTTGGTCAGACAAATTTTGGGGTTTTAAACATCATAATAGAAATAGGGACATTTTCATCTGATTATTTGCATGTAAAGATAATTTTAATCAGCATTATCTATACCCAGGGATTAAAAATTGTTGATGTAACAGGATCTTGATCAGGCTGTGGGAACATAATATGACTCATCAGCAAGTATTTTAAAATAAACTATTGGAAAAGAAAGGGCTAGAGAACTGCTATGATAAAACACAATATTTTTTAGAACTTTCACATACAAAAGTGAAGATTTTTACAACAGGATAAATAGTAAATTTATTCTTACTATATCTCTTTAGTACACTCCGACAGAATTTTACTCAGGTATATTCTGTTCTGGTCAAAAGCAAAATATCCCTTATACTGTACAACAGCTTGAACACAGCTAATTATACAAAAGTTCTACCTAGCTCTCAGTCACCTTTTTAGAAGTCACAAGATTCCATAATGCTTGTTTTGCTCATTATAAAAAGGATCATAGAACCGTTTAGGCTGGAAAAGACGTTTAAGTTCACTGAGTCCATCATTCTTTTTTAGGTTACTGATTTTGCTTTAAAGCAGCATTTCTGATTATACGAATATTGCATATAAAATAAATTCAAATAAACAGCAAAAAGATGATGTTTGCTACTGACCTCTGACATTCAGTAACTTTTCTAATATGCATGTTCCTATGAGCATGTGTAGATAGCTAATTGGATGAGGCTTTATTTCAAAAATAAAATTCTGAAGTATTTCAGTAATGACCACAGGTTGGTATGACCAATTATGTGAGGCAAGCTTTTGCTTGATCATCTTTAAAAAATAATTCCTTACCTCTATTTCTTGCCTTAACCAGTCTTCTAGATCTGCATTCTTTCTAGCATGGTGAGCAATCAAATCTGATCCTCCAATAATGTATGGAAGTTGTCCTGCCCCCGCATAAGCTACCTGTCATAAAATAAATTCTCACAATTACAACAGAAGGCAAGTAAAAGGTATGTTTTAACAAATTCAGAAAGTATATTCAGATATCACAGAAGAAAGTCAGCCTTCCTCTGAATAACATTTACTGGCAATTATATTTAAAAGAGATTGAAGTGAAAAAAGCATTTACCAAAAGCTATTAACTCCCTCTTTTTACTAAAAGAAACAAACAAAAAAATAGCTGACAAGTGACATGCTAAATAAAACTGAGAGGACATTAAATGGAGCTTGAAATCATTACAAATTAATTTTTACAGCTAGATTCTATTTCATCATCAGAATTCAGAAGCATCTGCTACAAAACAGTGGAAAAGAAAATACTATCAGAAATTTATAGTGTTATCTAGAAATGAGAGCATACCTCCAGGAAGATGGAAATTGCATTATGAGACTCCCGCTCTCTACATAATATTTTAATGAAATGCATTTCTAGTCATCTTAGAATCACAGAATCATAGAACAGTTTTGGTTGCAAGAGACCTTCAAGATCAAGTCCAACCTTTGTGTAATACAAATTTGGTTTTTACTTTTAATATGAGCTGAAGTGATATTTTTATGTTTATCAGTAAGAATCTTCTTGAAATTATCTTCAAGACTCAAGTAAGCAGGAATTTTACTTTTCTAAGATACTAGATTTAGTTCTATTTAGAGATCTAAGATTTATTAGATAAAGCACAAGACTCTGAATCAGTATATACTTTACATGTAGGTCTTTGGAGAAGTCAAATTGCTAGTTTTTGAAGGTACAACTGGAAGTTACAGTAGGCATCACTTAACGACTTATTTTGGGTAACAAACATCTAAATATAATCTAGTATGAGGTCAGCCTTTGTGAGCCTGGTAACTCTTCAGTCCATTAGAAAAATATTTGTTAACAATGTAATATGGTATTTAAATAATTTCCTTCTGTAGTTCCTAACAATTTTAAAAGAACAATCTTTCATAACATTTCTAACAATCTTAAGGCCATCCCTTTTAGTATTTTTAAACAGTGCCACCTCGTGACCATTTCAAATACACACCAACCTTTTTGAACGTCTTGAAATTTTTCTTTCCCCCATAGCTGGTATTCCCAGTAAACTGACTGTTCTGTCTTGGATGGCTGACAACCAGTGATCTAAACTCGGTTAACAGAAGTCTGCTAGGAAGATTCCTGGAGTCATCTTGCAGTTCATTGCGGTTCTTGTGTGGGAAGAAAAAGGAAGTAGCAATTCAAGTGTATAAACAGACATACAGCATACTCACTAGTATAAACTTTAGAGGAAGAAATTATGACAAGTATAGCTGAGGCAAAAGTTAGGATTAAAAAGGGGTGAGGAGAAGTAGCAGCAGTGCTAGAAGGAAAGAAGATGGATGTACTTCTCAGCCTCCTGATATATTACCAATAAAGCTGAGAGCTCACTATATTTCTCTCGTATTTACATCTGTTGAAAAGACAGGACCAATAAGAACTGCAGTAATAATAATGAAGACAAGTGTACCTCATTGCATTAGGATTTTACTTCAAGAAAGAAATCATATATATATTTTTAATTTAGCTAATATCTAAGAATTTCTTCTCTCTTCCTTTCCACCTTGCCTCTTACCTGGGCCAATTTAATCAAGTACACCTTCTCTAATGCAAAACGCAGTGAACTCCTCAGAAGCCAAAGTCGAAGATCTTCAGCTCAATACTACCCTACAGATTTACCATCTAAGCCAACTTTAAGGCTGTGAGCTGGATCTGATCAACTAAGCAACCTATTTTGTACACGAGAATACTCATAGGCCAGGAAGTTTGCACATTGTGTCCTCCTGCTTGGGGCTAGATCCATGCGGGTTAAAAAGGAAGCCTGGGTGCAGGACAAGTTCAAAAGCAACATTAAACTATCTTCATGGACATCTCCAGCCCAGATGCAGAACAGCTGTTTCATAGCAAGTATAAACCAAAAGCCCCTTAATCCAAGCTGACCCTGCACTCTGGTATACCTGCACAGCATTCCCTCTTTTTTTTGGACTCTTCTCTGTAACATATCTGAAAAGGTTTTATCTCGCTCCTTATTTACTGGCTACACTCTCCCCCTTGATCTCTCCAGAATATTCCCATTTCAGTTTCATGCAGCCTAGTGTTCTTCTGCTTCACTACCATTTCCAGCAATCCTCCACTCTCTCCTTCATTCTTCTCACCTATAAAAAAGTTAGCCCGCTATAATCAGTGTATGTTACATCTATTTTCTCAATGGTCCCTCTATTTTCCATTCTAGCTGTGATCTCCTTAGAGCAGACAAGGAGATTATATTTTTGCCTGGTCTTTAAGCAGTAACCTAACAAAAATACAAGTACTAACTGCATTAAAGGGTTAATACGATTATATTAAGTCTCTGTAGCTTCAGTCATCTTAATTATCTATCCAAAAGCATGCAGATGAACTACAGTTTGCTCTGTCTTTTCACAGTCAACAAACTGGATCGTACTATTCATATTTACATGCAATTATTTTAAGGAGTATGATCTTCAGAACCTCCTTTACTCTGAAATATGATCCATAAATACTACGTTCTTCAAAGCAAAATTTTGATGTATTGCCTTAATGCTTCTCCACATTTGCTGCTGAAACTTACAATTAACTGGTTTCTTACCAAGACTGGCGACTCTAGCTTGATCTCACTTTTCATTTCTGAAGTTAGAACTGATCCAGGTTTCTCTTCTTTCTATTTGATTAAAAGGTATTTAAAATGTAACACTGAAATTAAATGCAGATTTAATTACGTAGAATTGATTTCCTCTCTTTACAGTGGAATATGCATTTTCAAAACAATATAAATATTTAGACAGAAAAGAACGTGCACTATACTTTTATTTTTTATGGGTTTATATACGCTATGATTGTGGAGCTTTATTCTATTAAAAATAAAAAACAGTATTATTTTCTCACATCCTTTTTTTCTAATACCAGTAGTAAGCTTTGTCCATATGTACAACCCTCAAAGTCCTGCCAAGTTCTGGAAAATACTACAAAAGCTTTTGAATATAAAAGGCAGCATTTTCAACTTCATATGTTTAGAGTATGTGTGTATGTAAAGGACATTTCACTACTAGGACAGGAAAATATTCTGCAAGTTACTTTCCTCCCATATTTTAAACCCATATTTGTCTTTCATAAATTACTTCCAGTGGATGAAAACAATCTGATCAGCTTTACACACCCCGTACGTTTTTCAGTCAATTACATTCTTTGCCTTGCCACATATACAAAGTGCATCTATACGTAAATGAAATAGGTAACATAAATACACCTGTAGTGCTTTATCAAAAAATCTCCTTCCTATTCCACTGGAAACATAATTTCCGTGAATAAAACAGTTCATTATTAATTAAACTGTAAGAAGGCTTTTTGTCAGCAAAAACCTGTAAGCATACATCTGATAAGAGTTCAGTTATACAGAAGAATTTGTTTTCTTTCATGATCCTGTCAAGAAGTTAGACTAGAAAAACTTCCCAGGCCATAACAAAATTCAAGGTTATTCCAAGCAGCCATTTCAGTCTCTCAGTACAGTGAGACTTGATAGAAACCACCTCCTCTGATGGTATAAAGAGCAAGAAATAAAGATTCTATATAACTTACTTGTCTTTTACAATTTGCCTGTTAGTAACACAAAAAAATAACGTAATGAAGTTCAAAATTCACACTTTGCCAGAAGCAAGCTCCAGTAAAGTACCAAGAAGAGCGTGTTAGGCTGATCTGAGTGAAGGATACACAGACAATTATTAACTCTCATCTGATCCAAGGTATCTTGCAAATCCTAGTTACTTGATCATAGATTCAAACTTTATTATTACAGCTTTTAAACACTGGCTAGACTGTATAAGAATTGCCTGGACAGTAAGCTTTTATATTTAAAATAAACAAAAATTAAACTTGTTCCTTCTCTCTTACTTCCCTCTGCACTCTTAATAGTCTATCCTGCTAGAGCTCTCAACATTGTTTTCCTCTTCAAATCTGCTTTTGTTTTTGTTTTTTTTGGTCAATGAAGTGGCTAATGTTAACTTAAAATCCATTGTTTTCTTCATTTCTGCTAGAAAATTGCATTATTTTCAAAAAGAACACCAGAGAAATAATCAAACTTTGTTTTGTTTGTTTGCTTGAGTTTTTTAAGAGGACATTCGTAATATTAATTGCCTCTACCAGGAATTTTAATAGTATTTCATGTATCTTTAAGAGATTCTGGCTGCAAAGGTGTTGGACACTACTGTGATATTCAACAGAAGTAGTTAACTACAAGGTTTCTTCAGAAAATTCATTACATAGAGATAATATAATTGAGTATTATTTTACTATAAGTATCAACTTGATAATTAACACCACCACATACAATATGAGAAGGTTTTCTTGGACCAAGGATAAATTCTGCTGTTCTACCCACAGTATGAGAGATAAAAACTTCCAGAATACAAACAGCTTTCAATTCACAAAGAAATGCAAAATCATTTAGGTAGGTGTAGCACTGTAATGTCTACATGTAATAGATATGCCAATTTTTAGTTCAGAGTGATTTAAAAGGTTTAAGCAAATCAACCTTCTGCATGCAGGCAGCCTCAGTCTTTAAAAAGTTATTTGCATCCTCCTAACAAGAGTTGTAAAATTTCAAGATTAGGCATGCGAGAAGAATGTAACTTACCAACATTTTATTCTCCTCTCTCTGCGTTACATTCGCTTCTTGAACTCTGCTTCCTTTGGCTTCCAAACATCTTTTTTTAGGGGCTTTTCCTTGAGTTTCTTGGTCATGATCTGCCATCGGATCTTCCCAGTCTAGGTCTCTGCTTCCAAACACAACTTCTAGTGTCTCTCCATCTTCAGGAAGGTCATTTAACTCTTTTCTTTTTGGTGCACGCTTGTCACTACAAGTATTTTTAGGGTCCATTTTATTACTTGCTTGTTTGCCACCTGCCCCCATGAGCTTTATACCCGTGTCTTCTGATGCAAAATTTGGGGTTGGGTCCAGGATGTTTTTTTCCTTTTGATGCTGCCCTGCTTCACTGATCCACACTGATGAAGCTGTGGGTTCAGTGAACTTGGAAACAGACGATGACCTTTCCTCCAGTTTTGCTAGTTTGGGTACAGATGTTTCTTCTTCTTCTCTCTCCCTTAGCCAGAAAGTAATTACAAAAGAAAAAAATTACAAAGGCATTTTCGAATATGGACAGCTGCATCCATAAAGTAACAGCTTCCTGGGGTTTCAGTGTCTGAAACTTCAACACAGGTACCCTTGAGGAAAAGCTCACCATTCTAGGAAGCTGATCTAAAACTTACCTTTTTAAACTATTATTTTGAATTAAATGTATAATCCTTAAGTTAAAATTATTTTCCAGAAACAGTACCAACATAACAATAAGGGAAGTAATGTAAGAACACTTGAACATACCTTTTTCTAGCTACCTGGAAGTAATTTGTAATTGAGTTAGACTGGTGACATGAAGCACACTCAGGTGGTTTACCAGCTTCTGAAATTTTAGACGGTGAGATAGGGTGGCTTTTTTGACTAAACCCAGATGTTCTGCTCACTTGAGGTACCAATGTTCCCGCAGTTACTCTGCCACTTGTGCTAGCGTTTTTCTTCACAGCTATTTTCTCTTGTCTGTCCACCTGGGGAGTATCCTCAATTTCCATACTACATAAGAGAGAAAAGATACTAAGTGAACACATACAAAGTTACCACAGAGATACACAGTAGAATATCACTTTTAAAAAAAGCTGTCCCGGTATACTGAATATACTTCTAAGCAATGTAGGTATGCTTAAAACAAAATGTAAAATCCACTATGACACAAACACACACATATATATATATATGTATCTATATAAGTAAAATGCCTTGACAATTTGTAGCAGTTAAGACAGTCAAATCAGATATGCAGTATCTACATTTGTATCCTATAAGTCCTTTGTGATGCTTTCTGCTATCTACTACCCAAAGGCAGAAATTATGTCACTACAGGCAAGCGACAGCATCTGAGTAGCTGCTGTTTCCAACACTGGATACTTTTGTCCAGTTACAGTTCCTCTGCCACAAAAAAAACTTGCTTTATTTGCAAAAGTCGGCTTAGAAACTATTTCCACGAATACTTTACCATGTCTGCTCTTCTATTTCTGTATCAGTTACATATGCTGCACTGGTATCGGCAGCAGCTGGCATTAAGGTTTCATCCACAGCCAAACTCTGAGAAATGGCTTGCCCTGCAGCAGCTGATGCAGGCGCGCCTTTAGTTACAGCTGTAAGATCAACACAAGAGAAGAATTAGAAGATTAATATCAAAACTGTGTTTCTTTGCATGTGTTATTGCAAATCAGTAATCGATCAGGTGAGATTTTTGTAAAGTGGCCTTAAAAAAATTTAATCCAAAAATTGAGCAGATTTATTGTTTAAAAATAAATGAAAGAAACAGTTCTAAAGGACTATATTCTGGGATTCAGTTTTAGTTAAATATTACAATTAATTAATTAATTGAATTATGCTCAAATAAAAATGATGCTTAATAGGAAATCATATATTAATATGGACATAATGTAATTCATGAATCATGCAATATATATTTTATGCATAACTTTCAGAGCACAAAATTCCTTACATTTACTACTTTATGATTAAGGGACTATTTCTACCAATACAGAACCAATATTTGCTATCAAAAAACTTAGAATCAATGTCTTCTACTGCCAATTTATCTTAATCCCCTTATAGTCAGGGGATTGTCTTAAAACACTGTTTGCTACTCTCGATTTAGTTATTCACACTTCTCTGTAAAACAAAAAGAGCATACACAACATCTTTTAAATTGTCTGCCCTTTCACTCATCCTTGTCTTCACATACTTATGTCTTCTCCAGGTCAAAGGATATCAAGATTTACTATTTTAACAGATGTCTCATTGTGTTTCTAGATACATTGTTTTAATCACTACTCATCTCTCAGCCCTATACCTTCTTCCTGCATCTCGTTCTGACTGAGACTAAGACGACAGAATTATCCTTTCTGATAAACCATTCTTTCCACATTCACTCATTTTTCCCTACCACTGTAACCTAGGCAGGAATAACCTATACACACATTTAGGTCTCCTCCTGGAGCAACTACATCTTACATATGTTGCTATTTGTTGCTCTGAGGCAAGATTAGAGGAAGAAGTCTTCCTTATAATCCCTTTGATTTACAACATATACATGGAAGTTTTTTATAACTCTCAAACAATAGCATTTATTCCTTCTTAGCAAATAAACTGTAAATATAACTACCTGTAAAAGCCTGATACGCAGTCTGTTTACACAATTCAATCAGACAATTTTTACGGCATTGAATCATGCCAGCTGGAAACAAACATAAGCATTTCTGATTTATTCAGATGTGTGCAGGGTCAGTATCTTTAAATTTAATCTGAGAAGTAATTTATTATGTATTATTTTCTAAACTAACTGGATAGACAATACATCATATACAAGTTATTAATACAAGAATACCAGTCAACAGAAATACTTTCAGTACTGCATGTATATCTTTCTCTCTCAAAGAAAAAAAACATTTTAAAATAAGTTACGCTCCTATAGGTAAAGACAAATTTATGGTGATTTCATTTTATTTTGTTTTAAGGCTGTAAGAATTTCTGCCCAATACAGTGCTTTGCAGAACAGAAAAGAACCAAAAACTGTGTACAGAACTGACAATTTTACAGAAACAAAATACAGACTAATAATTATGGAAAAGGCATGGAAACTCTTTCTGTCTGTCAAAGATTTTTATCACTACTGTATTAGCAAATTAGTAAAGTTTCAAGTTGAGACTTGGAATATCCAGCTCCAAACTACTACTTTAGTAAATGTAGCTCACTGTTTTTACTTCTTACCTCAAGATTATATTTGGTTTTGAACTGTGTGTAGGACAGTGAATTTTCCTAAAGCAAATTGCTTCTTGTGTAAAAAAAGCACAAGCCATTACAAATTAATTCCGCCCTTGTTCTCTCCATTTCTAACATTCACCTTGTACGTTCCTATTACCCCAGTCTTTTCATAAAAGAAAAACTAGCATATTAATTCAGTGGCCACTAAAAATGTAAATTTCAAAAGATTGTTTTAAAGTACCTTTCCTTTAAAGATCAATATACTATGTGTTTGCTTTTTATGCTAATCTGCTACTTTTTTGTTCAACTCTAAAAGCCCTATAATTTTCATTGCAGTTTACTGCAAGGCCATTAAAAAACAATGATCTCTTCAGACTTGTACACATTTTTCACAGGGTGGCATTTTATTTTAGTGGTCTTGCAACACAAAAGAAAAAAACTTGAATATTAGCAGTTGATGTCTCTGTACAAAAAAGGAATATTGCTTCTTTAATGTTGTTAACTTATTACTACCCTTCTTCCAATTACCTTTGTTACCAGGCTGCTTTTGAGGGTTGCAGTACTTTTCTGTAGACATGAAGATAACTGCCAATCCAATTTCTGCCTCAGGAATAGCCCTGAGATCCTTGCTGTTAATATAAAAATACGGACAAAAAAAAATAATTAAAAAAACGTTTCTAAATACAGATGTAAAGATGAACAGGTGCATGGGCACAGGTATGACAAAGTACAAAATGGGCTATTCCTCTTTTGAAAAACATCAATCCAAACGTCTATACTACAACTTCTCACGATACAGTAAGTCAGCACAATTATCCATCATTACACCCTGGTCGAATATGTACAAACTTCCACATTTCCTGCTGCTGCAGCCACTGCCTAGTCCCAGTAATCCAGCCAATCCATCTCTCCCTACACTATTTCCAACCATTTAATCAACTGTGCTCCACCTCCAATTCTAACATGTGTGTGAATGGAAAAGTGACTTGAAAGATTTGAGCACTTCTAACAAGTCAGTTAGGCACACCTCCTCCCCGCTTTCAATCCTACAGCCATGAGAAAAGCTTGAGTGGTTTTCTCTATTTAGGAGGAAAATTCAGGGAAACTTGGTTAGTGTATTAAGTTAAGTATTTGGATTTTGTTTTCTTCCACTGTTTTAATGGCATCATGAAAATCCTAACATCTACAAAACAGGCAATTTGCCCTCTTAAACAAAATCTAACACCAAAACATAAACTGACTTTCCTTAAGCAGAAACTGCTCTTCAGAACCATTGTATAACGCAGTGCAAATAATTAGACAGCAATGAACAACATGACTTCAAGGTGCAATCTCATAGAATCACAGAATGGCCTAGGCTGGAAGGGACCTTAGAGATCACATAATCCAAGCAGGGACGCCTCTCAACTAGATCAGGCTACTCAAGGCTCCGTCCAACTTGGCCTTAAACACCTCCAGGGAGGGGGCAGCCACAACATCTCTGGGCAATTTATTCCAAAGTCTTGCCACCCTCCTACTGAAGAATTTCTTCCTAAGGTCCAATCTAAATCTGTTCTCCTTCAACTTAAACCCATTTCCCCTTGTCCTATCACTGGACACTCTTGTAAAAAGTCCTTTCCCAATGTCCTGTAGGTTCCCTTCAGGTACTGGAAGGCAGCTATTAGGTCCCCCCCCTCCTCATTTGTTTTCCATTAAATAAATATATTGGGAAAAAAAATAGATTACTTAATTTCCCTTCTTAGAATTTTTTAGCTTTTAAATAGAGGAAAAAACACCTCCTGTCTGTAATTTCCAAGCAGTTTCATTACAATATTTTTCTAGGAAAAAAAACAAACCAAAACAACAACAGATCATCAGAGAACTGCCAAGTCCTTTCTTTCCTGCTTTAAGAATTTTAGTTACTACATTAAATACTTAAAACAATGAAGAAAATGACCTCTTTATAAGTATCCTTCTGCTCAAATATGTATGCAAACACCATGATTAAATCTCTGCAGAAATTCTAAAATTACCCTACTGCTGTACAAGAGAACAATGCTGCACCTCTGCAAGACAGTCAGAACAGAATCAGTCCAGTTTTTCACGGAGTCAGATCCTGGGATTTGAGTGTTTGTCAACCCCACATCAACAACACAAACTTCAGGTGAAACTAATAAAGATACTTCCTTCTTTCCTTCCGTCATCAATTTTGCTTCCCCTCCTCCAAGAATAACTGCTGGACCCAGCTTCTTGTGCTAAAAGAAGAAAATGCAAGTTAAAAAAAAAAAATTATGAAATACAGTCAGTTTAGAAGTTACATCTTAATGAACTATCAGCACAATTTATCACTGATGCACTAATGCAAATCTGATGTGTTCTGTTTCTCCCCCTGTACTTCATCTTGCTTAGGCCGTTGTATTTTAAGAAGATACACACAAAGAAATCCCTCTTTCCTGATGAACCCAGAATGAGTGTAAATGCACTGAGAACAGAATCAGTGCTCAGCTACCCCTGCAACACTTTTCAAAATATAGCCCGATTACCTGCTTGGCAGTTAGAAATACAAAAGTTTTCCCGCTGAATATTTTTTTCCTTTCACGATGCTCAGATAAATCCAGCTTTTCAGCACCAATGGAAGGCTCATCGACTGGGGGATAAAAGCTGCAAGAACAGAAAATTCAAGTAAAAAAAAAACCAAACAACCAGATTTACCGATCAGTACTGACTCATATTCTTTCTGTTTTAACAAGTTCTGAAGTTAAAATACCACACTGCTCTGTTAAAAAATATTTATATTATATAAATATTTTTTCAATATGGTGTTAAGAAGAAACAGAATCTCTGATTTTTCAACATCTAAGCTAAGATCAAGATCTTCTACTTCAGCAAGTAAGACAACAATACTTTTAGGAATGTGTTCAACCTATTCACTTTAAGCATCTGCTCTACACACATCCACATTCTTCACAAAGAAAACTGACAAATGAGACTGCAATCTCATCCTGCACTTACTCTAGCTAATAGTAAAACCCCAGACAAAATTAATAATTTTGCTTCTTCTATCCTTCAGGTGGGGCCGGCCACTCCTGCTTCTCTTCTGTTGGATCAAGAAATTGCAAAGCACCACACTAGATGCCAGCCTACTGACAAGACATAAAACAAACACACTTTTTGTGCCAGTATGATAGAGGACTAAATTGACTGATCCTGCAGATTCTCAATTGTTTTTTGCCAATACAAGAAAAGTGATCAGGACTTCAGCTGGGGAACAGAATAGGCATAAGTAAAATTCTATCCTGAAGCTTTCATTTTTGTCCTGGGCTGCAGCAGTTCTGGCAGAGCAAGGTGAAGGCATGTTCTAGAAAGAAGGGAAACTATAGCTCAATTTTAACCATACAATACTACACCTGTACCCATAAACAGCTGTTTAGGTAGGTACTCTGGCTGATCATAGAACTATTGATCTTCATTCTGACTGCTGATTATACAATCTTCTCATAATATTATGCAGGAAAAAAAGAGATGCTGAAACATATATACATGTATATGGCATATATAAATGTTTTTATATTTTTTCTCTTTTATACAAAGAATAGCAGATTCTAAGCAAGAAATATGATGAAATATTTAAGTTTCTGAAAAAATGCACCATCTGTGAAATCTTCAGTTATTGCTCTTCCTTGCATAGGTTATCAGGAAGTACCAGAGGACTGGGGTAACACAGATTACCGTAAAAACCCTCAAGCAAGAAGCACCACACACAGGTTTGAAATTCTGTGAAATCTTAGTAAAAGCAAAAAGAAATTTTAACTTTTTAGAACTTCCTATTTCCCCAGGATTTTTTTTTGATCAGATGTACAGCAACAATCAAGGCTTAATTAACAGTGTCACTCTGTATTACCATGTCAATGCATCTTTCCTATTTCATATTCCAAGTAGTATGACTCCAAGTCAGTTAGTGTCTTGTGATGTACCAGCTCCAGTCAGCTCTAGCTATAATGCACAATGTAGAGATTCCCTGTGAGAGTTAACAGCATTTTTGGAAATTGAATGCGAACAGCTGCTAAGTAAATTTTCAGTATCTTCCCACAAGCTACATCTTAAAAATATCACCTATTTAAAATATTATAGTTATTTTAAATATAGATCTGCATGTTATATCAGCTGTCTCATTTAGCTTGATGCAAAGCTCTCTCTTTGAAAGCTACATAATGGATATACTGCTAGTGTCACTAACATTTAGCCAGCTCAGCTCCTTTGAGGATCTTAATAGTTAGTAAAAGTATTAAGGGCAAGGAAACATAGCCCTCGGGTTCTCTTTTAGGAAGCACCTAAGAGCTCAACTATACCATCACTTCTGTACTGAAGAAACGGGCAACACACACCCTAGTTTTAAAAGCTGAAGCCACGGTTTGCTTGTTACTATAACAGACAATAACAGTCTTACAAGCTACATAATATCAGGCCAAGCAAATTTCATACTTAATAACCAATTGCTAGTTTTTGATGGCTTTACTGCTTGTACTTACGAAAAAAAGAAATCTGCCAAAAAACCTTACATCCAGTATTTCAGAGAAGACTCTAAATAGTTTGGTTTGTTTTCTTGGATCCTTATAAAACAATATAGAAGGAAAAGTTACAATCTATGAAGACTTCCCTTTCCTTCTGAAACTGAAGCCCAAGTGAGTTTTAAATCACTCACAGATGACGGATTTGACACACTACATAAACCTCTGCAAATGTAAAGCCGTATCTAGAAACTAAGGAGTATTTGCTACAAATTGCTCCAGTTGGCACCTGCCTTGTACTAACAAGGTACTGTTACATTCTGTGAAATATATTTTACCATGTAGCAAGCGCAGCTTATCATGAATCCTCTACTGCTGTGCTTCCATCACCATGTGTGTACCACTGAGGCTCGTTTAGCTGGCCCGTTCTCCCAGCTATTCTACCAGACCCACTAAAGAAGATAAATCATAGAATGTTGGGGGTTGGAAGGGATCCCTGAAGATCATCCAGTCCCACTCCCCTGCCAGAGCAGGATCACCTACAGTAGATTGCACAGGAACACACCCAGGCGGGTTCTGAAAGTCTCCAGAGATGGAGATTCCACGTCTCTGGGCAGCCTGTTCTAGCACTCCATGACTCTTACAGTAAAGAAGTATTTCCTTATGCTTAGGTTGAACCTCCTGTTTTCCAGTTTATGACCACTGCCCCAGTCCTGTCACTGGATACCACTGAGAAGAGTTTGGCCCAATCTGCCTAACATCCACCCTTTAGATACTTACAAACATTGATGAGACCCCTCCTTAGCCTCCTCTTCTCCAGGCTAAACAGATCCAGATCTCACAGCCTTTCCTCCTATGGTAGGTGTTCCAGTCCCCTAATCAGCTTGGTAGCCCTGCACTGGACTTTCTCCAGTAGTTCTTTGTCCTTCTTGAACTAAGGAGAATCACAGAATCGTTGAAGCTAGAAAAGACCTCCGAGATCATCAAGTCCAGC